GGGGCGGGGCGGAGCGGGGCGGGGCGTATATAAGTGAGGCAGGCGGCGCGGCCCGCGGCACAACGGTCCGGAGCGCCGCTTCTCATCCTCTCGTAAATCAGCAAGCAGCAGTGAGTTTCATAAATTAACGAATAGCTCTCCCACTCCGCCTTCCCGCCTTGCTCCGTCTATGTGTGAGTGTGTGAGTTCTGCGAGGGAGAGGGAGTGCACGCGCACGTTTGTGCGAGAGACAGAGAGAGACAGAGACACACAACATGTTTCCTCTATGCGCTGTCGTCAGACAAAGCACGCACACTTCTGCAAAAACAAAAGTAAGCTGAGGGGTTTGTGCCGAAAAATATTAAAAACGAAAATGACGGGCACCCTGTGCAACGTTATTTACTGTAATCCACTGTAGTTAAATATGAGTATGAGTATGACCTTACATTTTGATATGGAATAATAAGATCCTGTGTCATTCGCGGTTTCATGTTTCTGGAGAAGAACCCGCATAACTATATTAAAGCGATGCTGAAATTCTAAAATTGATTTGAACAGTTGAAAAACATGCTAAAAATTACAAATTTTTCCAGGGAGCCCTCAGCCCACCACAGTCGACATCTGAAAAGTGACTTCGATCTCTGCTCCCGAGCGTCGTGGGCTCATTCAGACGTCCAGCCGTCCAGTCGCAGCCGTCCGCTGCGCGCAAAGTAAGTCCCGTCCAGGCTATACGTCAGCACTCGTATCGACTGCCCGGCGGCTGACCGATGCCCGGGGCCACGGTCACCGGTCTATTTCTGGCGCCATTCTGTTGTCCAAACGACCAGCCGCATTTACGCCGTGCTTGCTTCCTCCGCGATTGATCGCTTCCATATCATTCATGATCGCGACGAGTCAATTTCGGAAAAGCACACATGTCGGGGATAAAAGTCAGGAGAGATAATGTTGACAGTGTCCTGCCAGCCCGGCCTGAGGCATACTGGCTGGGGCCATAGAGCAGCCGGCGCCGCACTGACGAAGCCGTCCAGACGGCCCCTTCCCCTCTCCTACCTCCCTCCCACTCCCTCCAGTTCCTCTTCCTCATCACTACTTCTGCACCCACTCCGCCCCCTGCTCGACCTTAGCCCAGCCCCCGCCCCCACCTCGTCCCCTTTCTCCAGACTTTCTGCTGCCGCAGTTACAGTCGCGGTATATTTCTTTCCTTCTACCAGTGATACCCTCACCATTTCACCTCTCTCCCTCCCTCCAGTCGTTGCGCTTTAACAACCCGCAAAAAGGGGCGCGCGCGCGAGAGAAAGGAGGAGACAAAGGGAGGGAGACAGAGAGAAAGAGGGAGGGAGAGAAAGCTCTTTTATAAAATTCCATAATGACGCAGCTCTTGGCTCCACCGCGGCCCCTTCTCCAGGCCAGTCTCCAGTTACAGACCCATCTCCAGCACCAGCCCCACTTCCAGCTCCAGCAACCGCATACCTATAATGTAGCCCCATATCCAGCCTCAGCCCCATACCTCCAGCTTCAACCCCGTCTCCAGTCCCAACCTTCACCCCATTTCCAGCACCAGCAGCCAGCTCCTCAGCTCCACCCTTCATCCCCATCTCCAGTTCCAGCTCCCATACCTTCAGCCCCATCTCCAGCTCCAGCCATGACTCCAGCGTGTGTTCGCAGGGATGCGCACCGCCCTGGCCGTCACCCTGGCGCTGCTGCTGGCTGCTGCCGCCGCCGTCTCCGCCGCCGCCACCGCCCATCCGGCCGACACCAAGTCCGAGCCCACACTGAAAGGTAATGGACTGTGGCCGTACCATAACAGCAAGTTGATACATCTAAATCAAAAACCTACCAAGCAGTGGTCAGATTGAAATTTCTAAACTTCTCCTTGGTTTCTATGATGTCGTTTTCACACGTCTCTCCCCAGAGGTGCTGGACTCGACGGTCAACCGGATGATAGCCCTGACCCTGGCGTCCAGCTCGGATACGGTTAATCACAAGGAGAGCATCCAGGACCCCCAGGTGGCGATGATGGAGAGAGCGCTAGAGAAGTTCCTCAAGTTGGGGCCGGCGAGCGCTCGGCAGACGCGCGATGTCGCGGACATTGTGAGTTGTTGGCGACCTATTTAGGCCTAAAACGAAACTTGTTTCTTAATTTGCATGGTTGCCCCATGTCTCATCAAATTTGAAAACTACTTTTGAAAGATTCACATGTTTACACTAAACTCTAAGGTTTGGTGTAAAAGAAACATTTTTTTGGAAATCTGTATTGACGGAAAAAGGACCGTATGTTTTAATGAATCTGAACTTCAGGAGCACGGGCCCAAGCGGCGGGACAAGCGGAACCTGCTGCAGATCCTGTCGGAGGCGGTGCTGCTCAGGCCGCAGTACATGAGCGAGTACCTGCACGAGTACGTGGAGGGGTAGCCACAAGCCACTAGCTGCGGCGGACCGGCCCGGGAGCCCACAGCAATAGCGGCCACATCGACGCCTTGGGATGCATGCATCGTTAACCACGCCATCACCGCCGCAGCGGCGTCAGCCCGAACAAGGTCCTCTTTCTCTCTCGCACCCCCACACTCATCTCCCGTCTCTCTCTCTCTCTCTCTCTCTCTCTCTCTCTCTCTCTCTCTCTCTCTCTCTCTCTCTCTCTCTCGAGAAAGCCCGCGAAAGCGCACCCCTAGTGGACCACCCAGTATTATTACAAAAAACTAGTGAAATCAGGTTCAAAACCAGTACAATCTAAGAAAAGTGAGTAAAACTAACAGTGCCCCATCAGTGAAGTGATTTACTTCAAGTGGAAACGACGTGGCTACTCCACAAGGAACCAAAATGTTGGGGCTGCCCAGGCCCTAACCTCACTACGACGCCGCCACCAAAAGTCATCAAGAACCATCCAAGAAAATGCTGCGTCAACATCAAACCCAACTTTATTCAAGTGTGCTTCAATCCCACTCAAGTCCAATGAACTATTCATTTGAAAATTCAACTCCCCAAACCAAACTGCAACCTAACCTCCAATCAACAACAACTATAGTGCCAAACGATGCCCCATCACGAAAAATGTCAGTGGTTTTTGAGAACACTCAAGAATTCAACCAAGACCAACTACTCCGCGCTGCAGCCGACGTTGTCGGTGGCAACAACATTCAATACGCTGCAAGACTCAGTGGGGGCCGATTTTGCCTCTACTTATCCTGCTATTCTGCCGTCACAACACTCTGCGACCGCGGAGGTGTCGAAATCGACGACATCTTCCTGCCGTGTCGTAAGTACGTCTCCGATGCCACCAAATTCCTAATTTCCAACTGCCCACCTGAAATGTCAGACGATGCACTGCTAAACCTTCTCAAACCATACGGTAAACCCGTCTCGACGCCGACCAGGCTCAGAGTCAGCACAATCCACGACGACCTCAAGCATGTCAGAACCTGGACACGATCCCTCTACATGCAAATTCCCAAGGACGCCCCACCGTGCCCAGAAGTGATGCCAATCACAAGCACAGAAGGCGTCAAGCACACCCTGTACATCGAAACAAAAACATGCAATTTCTGCCGAAGCCCAAGTCATACCGTCGAAGAGTGCAACAAAAAGAAACAACAAAACGAAGACTTCCCAGCCCTAGAATACATACCATCGCCAGCTCTCCGCCTCGCCAAGCAAGCAACCTTTCAACAACCCCAAACAAACCCGCTGAACCCACATTTCTCAAAAGAAAAACCCAGCCCCAGCCCAGAAGAACCACCGAAGCATCAAGACAAAGTGCCCCTAACCTCCAAACCAGTCTGCTCCGCGCCCGAAGTCGTCGTCGCTGCCAGCGCCGCCAGCCAAGCTGTACCCACCCCCCTCCCATCCCTCGTGAGTGTACCACAATCAGCTGAAAATCGTCCAGTGAAAAGAGTTCTCCCCCCGTCCCCCCAAGTATCCTCAAAAGTGATAAAACAATCCAATTCCTTATCCATTGAAACCATAACAAGTGACAAAAATTACCCAAAAGACTACTACAAGGACTTTAGCAATGCCTTATCTTCTATGTCCTTCAACGATGACATATTATCCGAAGAACAATTTTTAAACCTATTCCACTCTTCAAGCAATACAAGTTTTAATGCAAGACTCAAGAGATTAAATATTCTAGAACTCACCACCAAACTTAGTGAACTTAACAATTTTGCAACTGATGAAAGACTCAAAACTAGAACAAAGTTAGTTCAAAAATTATGTGTCATTCATAGTCCTAGTTAATCTCTAAATCTATGTTTTAATCAAAACAATTCTACATTTTTAAAATGTTCAACTAATAAATTAAAAACCTACTCCCACACATAGAAACAAAAATGTAACGTTCTACCATTCTAAATTTTACTCTTTTAGACACAAACAAGCAGCACCGCATGCCCGCTGCATCGCCAGCTATTTGTATCAAAATCACACCCCCCTTTTAGCCCATAATGTACAATTAAATCCCCCAATAAATCCTTTGTAAAAACTCAAAACTCTCTCTCTCTCTCTCTTTCTCTCTCTCTCGGTAATGCCTGTCCTACACGTCCAGGAAAGCTCTGTGGAGATCTTAATGCACTGGCCCTCAGCCTCAGCCTTTGAGGGCGCTGTGCTTTATTGGAAATAAAAGTGGAAGTACAACATATTCTCACATTTGCAGGCTTGCTTGTAGGCGAGCGAATAGAGATTCGAACAGTTACTTGAAAAAGATAGTCCCTTTTTCTGTGCCTAAAGTATTTGAATTGTTATTTACACCTGCAGGTGTGTGATTTTCCCCCCCTTTTTGCAGGTGTGTGACATTCTTACACTTTCATTTCCAGTGTAGCGCCCGGGCCTGGCTGCTTGTGCCGCTCCGAGTGGCGCGGCCCGGTATGACTGACTGGCGACAGATCGGGCGGAACGAAACAACGGCTCGGGGATTATTTAACGCCATGATATCACAACGAATATTATATCATTAGAACAACGAGTCGACAGGCTGGGCCGGCACCATGAGCGACAGGCTGCAATCTTTTGTCTCTCTCTCTGCGACGATAACTCCGCGAAGGTCCCCGTAATAAAAGATTACGGTTCAAGTTTCGTTTTGACTTGAAACACCGCTTGTCACTTTACGTCGTTGGCTACCTTTCGAGTGAAAATGAGTGAGAGTGTGACTCCATCGCGCGCTGCGCCGCACCAAGGGCGTGGCGCGCACTGGGCCCACGGCCGAGGCAATACGTTCGCTCGGGTAGTTCTGCGCGCGGGAGATTTCAAACAACAACAATGGTGGCCGCTGGCTGCGGTCAATATGTCTGCGTGGGCGGCGAGACCGAGGGAGAGATAATGAGAGGGAGAGAGGAAAGAGGAGAGGAGAGAGGGGGCTGCTTGTGGGCACCAAGATGATTTAAAATGGGACGTAGGAGAGACATATTTTGTGTAGATGGACAGGCCTCACACGGTCGGCTGGAGGAGAGCGGGCGGCCAAGGACAGGGGGGCAACCTTATCAGAGGGAGTGCCGCGGCCCGCGGGCCTAGCCTACCTTGTAGGGCCCTTCCCGCCACTCACGGAGGTAGCCGCTGCGAGAGGCGTGAGAATCACCGCTTGATTGGGTCTAATAACCGACCAGTTTTTGACACCCGAACAAAAACGTGTGTTGTAACAGAGTTGGGCTAAGTGGGCAAATTACTACGTACTTCAGTAGTCGTAAGTTTGTTATTTGTATTCCAGCATAATAGATTGTAATAGATTGTAAATAATTCGAAATAATTCTAATAAATACAAACTAACTTCTTTGCAATAGCACTGCAAATAATTTCAATTCATGCCATCGGACATCTTTGTATGTGCAACACTGTACTTTTGTATTTGGTGTGAGCGCCGTGCTCCATGAGCCCTACCCCAGTTGCCCAGTTCTCCAGTTTCGGCAGGACCGCACGGCACGCCGCCTCCAGGAAGGACGTGCATGGCGTGAGGCCCGCCGAGCAGTGGACGCTCTACTTGCACCTTGATATGATTTGGTAATGAAAGTCTGTTACGTCGAGTGAAAGGTGTAAGTCACGGCATGCGGGGCGTGGCGTGGCGGCACCTGCCGCAGAGGACACCGACTATCGCAGTGACGTAACGATGAATGGTTTATAAAAGACGGCGGCGTAAGAATGCGACGGATTGGTCGACAAAGCCCACGGGCACGCGGTGCTAGGGGGGAGGGTAAAGAGGGGGGGGGGGCATAACCCGCCCACGTATCGCTCCAGCCGTCAAAGCACTCCCGTCACGTTTGTGTCCCGAGTCGCTCGCTCGCGGTGCAGGATGGCGAGGGGAGGAGGGTGAGGGGAGCGCAGGGCTTCCGACAGTAGCCCCGGTGACCTTCGTGGACCGAGGTGGCCGCCCTGTCGGCGTGCCCGGCCCTGTGGTTCTGGTGATGGGCGACACAGCGGGTCGCACGAGCTCCCGGCAGCAGCAGCTTCCCTTTGCCGCCGAAAACAGGCAGCGGCGGGTAATAACCCCGGGGGGAGGTAATTGGAGCCGGCGTTACGTCACGGGTAAGTGGTGCACAAGTAATAGCGGCGCGGCCTTGAGCGCTCCCGCCGCGCCCCGCACCACCCTGGGCCCTCAACCCTGCAGCCCCACGGAGTGTTACCTTTCATAGTGTGTGTGTGTGTGTGTGTGTGCGCGCGCGCTACTCGACAGCAGCTTTGGACCTTTCTTTTGTGTGGCCGCGGGGCGGCACTGACCCTGCTGACCTCGGCGTACATTTGCAATTCATTTACCCGATGGGCCCTTTGTCTCTGCGCGCACTGCGGCCCGATGCGTATCTGTTTGCACCTCTGATTGAGCCGCTGACCGCACCGACCCCGCTCAGGAGCGAGCTTAGGAGCGAGCTCAGGAGCGAGCTCAGGAGCTCATGTGCCGGCCGATCCTTGGCGTGCGGCCGAGCGTGCGGCCCACAGAGTTAGACATCGACACGGGGCGGAAGGAAGGAGGTCTATTGTCGCGCGCAGCGGGGCAGAGATCAGCTCTCAAAAGTGGACGATAACGCACACAGAAGAAAATCACTCATCTTCAAAGTGAAAAGTGTGGAATGTGGTCAAGTTTAGATACCAAAATGTGAAATTACCCAAAATAACAAAATTCTATTTTCACTATATTTTAATCACTGTCAATAACTCTTATACTATGGCATGTGGTGGTAAACTTACAATGTCAATCGTAATATCGCTTTAAAACCGTAAGTAACAGCATATATTGTAAATAAAGATAGAGATATGTTCAGAGTGATTTAGCTTCATCCTTAGATTTATTATAATTCGTCTCAAATTTGAGGTCTGACAAATATGATGCTTCTCGCGGAGTGCCAACCTGGCATAGCGTTTTACAAAGCCCTATTATACCGAGACGATATCAGATGGTTTGTCGTCAGTCTTACAAACAAGCTGTGCTTCACACAAACAATCAAAGCTGAAGAAGGCGGGTAGGGGGTGGTGTAGCGGGTGTGCATAGTATGGCGCCTATTCGCAAAGAAATCTCGCAGAGCTATCGCTGTCTGTGCCTCTCTCCCTCTCTCCCTCTCTCCCTCTCTCCTTCTCCGCCTGTAGCAAATCGCTTTCGCGATGTCGTCAAGAACTTTTCCTAGAATATCGGTCCGCACCATGGCCTCGCAATCAGCCGTGCATATTCATTGTCTGGACTGCTGCGGGCCGCGGGCGCTGCACGGCCGCCCCGGCCCCGCCACGACAAGCGAGAGTCTGCCGGCTGGCAGAACACATCAAAGACTCGAGCAGGAGGGGTTGCCGCGCCGCCGGGCGCCGGGCGCCAGGTGCCCTCGCCCCCCAGCGGCCCCGCTGCGGTCACCTCACCCATATGCTAAACAGCGCGTGGCCGTGCGGGCATCCTCTGTCCTTTACTGTAACTCGGTGGAAGCGGGTGCGGAGGGGGGGGGGGGCGTGAGAGAGCGACACAGCGTCCGTATCACTCCACATGGTACTAGTTGGCCGTGCCGAGGTGCTGCCAAGGCCAAGCCATTCGAGCCAGGACGACCGTGTGGTGGTGGGGGCGTGGTAGGGCAGGGCGGGGCGAGTTCTCAGCTTGTCACATAGCTCGCTCGCGCGCGCGCACTACCCGCGTGTAGTAACAGCTACAGTGAGCATTCGGCATCTCCCACTCAATCACATGAGCAGGTTCCCGATCCGGTCTCCCCAAAAATGTTACAAAGAAGTTGTGTGTCAACGGCCTATTGCTCAGCTGGCTGGCCCGACGGTGTGAGTGGGTGCTGTGGTGGGTGAAGGGGGAGCGGGTAGGGGGCACGAGGGCACGTTTGTCTAATCTGGAACGCAATACAATTTGGTTAGAGTGAATATTGTACTGTTTTACACGATAAACTGTTGACGTAATTGAAGCACATGGTTTCAAACGAAACTTGTTTGCAGGAATAATACGCATATATTTTTGCCTATCAATTATACAATGGAATCACAATTCCATTCTTTGTGAATGCACCATTATGAGCTAGAAAGTCATGATTGTGCTTTTATTTGTCCGCGGCTCCAGAGATTTGGGTTATTTCGACTGACCAACACAAAAGTAAGTGAAAAGTGCTTTGCCAGTTAAACTGGTGGGTCAACCTGAGCATTTTCTTGAAACAGAAAACGATTATAGAAAAGAAAGCCGGAAAAAATACGCTTCCCCGCGTGTGTTGGCACGCTTTTGTTGCTACCCTCGGCCGATTGCTGCAACTTCAGTCGTACAGCGGGCGGGGCGGATCTTGTGGGTGGGTGGACCCGGGGCGGACCCGCACAGGTGAACGGTGCGGCCTACTTACGACACATCAGATTATTTTTAATATCGGTAGTTACACTCTAGCGGCTAACACAAAAAAATAAAAAAATAAAAAAATACTCGTAGCCCGTCAGCCCAGGTTAATGACTCTAACAATGACGCTGTCCAACCACCATACGGACATCCCAGCTGAATGAAAAAACGCTGATGTTATGATGTGATATCAAATAGGACATCGGTCAGTTTTCAAACGAGTACTTTTACTGAACTTTTTACAGGGATAAACTACTGCCATGCTTCCTACACACGCAAAGTTCAAAACAAATGTATTAGTACACTGACACCCTTCGTGCACTTACTTCATACTCTAAACTGATCTTCGCCTGACCCACATTCCCCAAACTTTACCTGAAGCCCGTATGATTCGGTTTACTCCCTCTAAAAGCCACGGGCCACGGACTCACCGTATCGCCTCGAATCTCTTATTGGACAAACCAAACCGGTCACTCAACGGGAGAAAATGTATGATATGCGATAAAGCCCGCAATAAAGTGTTTTTTCCTTGAGTTTTTAGCCATATGTCATTTAGTGTAAAACTGTTGAAACCTCCATAATGCTATTATAAACCGATGTAATATCAAACTACTCTCTAAATTGGTAATACTTTTGGGTTTATTGAAAGATAAAATTTGCGCACATCTTAAATTCAGAAGCTTTGAATCTGATCTAGCACGATCTAAAAATCTACAGATCACATCATTACTTACCATAGTTCTTAGTATTATTTTTAGAAAATCTGTCTGTAATTTATTGTGCAATTCAACTGAACAAAGAAGTTTCTCGTCATACATTATAAATTGTCAAGAGAGTGGTCTGAGAGTGTGGGACCAAAATTGCGAAAACTGTCTGTAATCCTGAAGACACAATTTTGTCTGCCATTGGATGTGGTTTAAACGGTTCCCCATATTTTGTGGACCAGACTTAACACTAATTAATTTGTCACACTAATACGTCGAGCTTGATCGGGTGAGGACAACTTTGGAAATGTAACCGACTCCTCGCGTAATGATCGCGCTTTGTTGCATACGATATGAGCAGTAGTACATTATTGATATTTTACCGCCATCCAGTTAACTTTTCTTCTTTTTATCCCACCCTTCTGCTTTTAAAAAAGCATTAAAGCGGGCTTTTGCAACCGCTCTCGTGTCCGTCCGTCCGTCCGTCCGTCTGTCTGTCCGTCGTCCGTTTAAGAGGAAAGAGATGAGCTAGAGGTCTGCAAATTTCAGGGTATCTTAGGGGTCACTCCTAGACAACGAAACGCCTGGTGCAAATCCTGGCAACCACCCCTAAGGGGGTGAAAGGGGGTAACGAAGAAATAGGGGTTGGTCCAAAAAGTAGAAAATCATTTTTTTATGGTCCCCTAAGGGGTAACTCGTGAAAGTAGAATCCTTCGGCCTACAATTTCGTCCGTTTGGCTCTATCTTGCACCGTTTGGGCACTAGAGTGCTTTCTTCGACGAAAATACGGCGAAAATGACGAGGGGGCCACCACTCTCTCTTTGGATGTACACATGATTGCAAAGATTGCGTGATTTCACATGATTTCACGGATTTCGCATATTATTTTAGAAGATTTCACGCTAAAACCTGCCGGCAGATTATGTCTGATTTGAAGGATTACAGATGATTTCAGCGGATTTTACCGGATTTCGTCGGATTTCACAAGATTCCGGCGGATTTTACGTGATTCCGGCGGTTTTTACATGACCTTCTAAGGATTTCTGGCAGATTACGCATGATTTCATGATTGCAGGTGGATTTCAAATGATTTCGGGGGGATTTCACGGAGGGCGAACACATGATTTCAGGAGTGGCGGCCCCCTCGGAAAATGACCACGTTGCACATAAAGACGTACAAGGACGCGTCCAATCGTAAAATGTCAGAGGAAGTACCCCCCCTAAACAACACATTCTGAATCAGAATCTACCCTCGGATTAGCCGATTAGCCGTATGTTTTACTATTTCGGCCCTAGAGGTTGATGTATTGAAAGCAATGGGAAAAAAGTCTTTAAGACTTTGACAAACAATCCAATCTAAACGCTGCGCTGGTTCATTTTTTTGTATTTTTCTTATGCAAAGCAGAAGGGTGGGGTGTAGTCACGGTGTTGCCCCGTTACAGTCTTTTGTCATGTGAACGGAGCAAATCTCTAGGGTCGCAGGCCCCCCGCCGGAAGTTAGTTTACTCAAATATGCGAAGTGATTTACCGGTCACATTATTTATTTGATTATGT